CTGTCTTCTCTGTAATTTTCACACATCCTGTGGGCCGCAATTAACCCTCTGGCGGGCGTAAGTTTGACACCTCAAAATATTCATTTATTGGCCATTATAAATGCCGATACTAATAGTTTGGAAAATGCTAATACATATAATATAATATCGGCCCGCCGATAAATCGGTCGGGCTCTAGCTTTTACCTCATTGCAGCCAAGCAGGGAAAACTGTAACTAACCTACCTGCATGTTTACCCCCACACAATGACAAAAGAGTTGATGAATGGATCAATAAAAAAGGGATGGATAAAAAGCACGAAATTGCTGCACACCCAGAACACATCTAAAGTGATTCATTTGAAAATGTCTCCAATGACAGAGCCTAACTAAGTACAAACTGGACAAACACCCAGCAGGAACAACAAACAGAGAGATAATATAATACGTAAATCAGCTGGCTCCTCTTTATCTAATGACTGTTTATGACCTTCAGGCTCAAGCTGCCTTTTGTATAGCCACGACAGTCGGAGCCATCAAAAACCATAATTTTTACTGAGACATTGGGTGTGTTTATGGCAGTGGGCACAAGTATCTGGCTAGGTGAAGCTTATGAAGCATGATAATGTTCCTGTCAGGAGCAGTTTTTTAGCTGATGTTGAACTAATCAGTTGTAAGCACACAGCATCCACGATGGTGTGATTTCAACTGCTTTTTGTGCAAGCATATGCGTAAACATAAATATGTTGTAAGATGACAGAATACCATTTCATGGTAAATCAATTCTGCAGTGAGTATGTGTGGATTCATTGTATTGTAGTTGTTGCCGGTAATTCTGCTCCAGAAATGTCAGTTCATCACTGGAAAATCACCCTGTGGATAACTTTTCTCTTTGCTCACTCGTTTTAAATGTTGATGCAGCCGATCGCACGTCATTAACATGCTGGTTTTGTTGGATGACAATTATAAAATAATGTTTTTACCATTTCAGTCATTTGAGCCAGAATTAAACGTCCAGTTTGTAGGATTTTGTGGCATCTAGTGTCAAGATTGCAGATTGTAGGAGTGTTTGGTTTGTCCGTTCTAGGATACTGTGGAAATATGTTGAACCACCATGTACATAATGTTACAATTTACGGAAGATCGGATGGTTTGGGCTTGAATCCTTAAAAGTATATAAAAGGAAATGATTGCTTTGACATTGTATAAGTTGGATAAATGGTTGAAATCAAATAAAAAGCAGTTATTATAGAGCCACATGAGTCTCCATATTTATGAATGTGCATATAAGGATTTAAAAATGTATTTCATGATTTTGTTTCCAAAACCAAGCAAATCAATTTCTCTACTTACATCAGAGGCTGTATCAACCATGTTATACATCTGTAATCTGTAATCTTGTAACAGTTAACATCAGGAGGCCTATAGCAACATCTCATAAGAACAGGTTTAGTATGTGGTGAATGAACCAGAACCCATAATGTGTCTGTATATCATAGAGCACTAGATCATCCCTAGGTTCAGCAGGAATCTGTTTCTGTCCGCTCTAAATATATGACCGCTGCATTACCAAACAAGGGGCCCTGGTGGGTTTTACTTGATACTGTGAAAATGTGATTATTATGTTGCTGAGCCAGATGCTAAAACGTTCCTAATACTACAGTCAGATAAACTGTTATCAGACCTTTTGGAAGTAAAATAGATATAGCAGCAAGGAAGAATGATACTGCCTCCCTTAATACCTATTTGGCATACATTAAAATTCTAAATACATTTAAAACACCTGGTATGAAAACATAATTAGAAAAAATGCCAGGGCAAATGATGAGCTAGACATATCTCAGCATAAAATTCTTGCTTCCATCCTCTTTAGTAGTAGCTCTTCTCAGTTTCTGGATAATCCTTATTGATGAATATACTGTCGGTTTGAGTTTGCCTTCTGCTGCACTGTTTCTCCGTCCTTAAACCTTAGAATCCCGACGACTATGAACTGAGACCTTATTCTTTTTTTGTTTACCTCAGCCTGGGCAGTGGTCCTAGTGGATACTTCTCAGGTTAGAAGGACCCTTCAAATCAGAGTAGGTTTGAGATCCAACTTTTCTCTGAAATTATCCAGCACTTTCTGCTAATTTTCTGGCATTTGTTAGTGCCCCCAGGAGGTTGCAATGTTGGATCACAGCAATTAATGCAAATTCAACCACTTCCCGTGATTTCTGTGCGCAAATAGCAACCCCAAGGGCAAAATTCTATGCATGCATTCACATTTCCTACATGCTCTGATTTTTGAGTGTTAATAGTTGTGAAAGTACCAAAACATCCTACACACTGTCTATCACTTTATGATGTTTTGGTCTATATAAGGTAGAATTAAATTATTGGTGTGTGCTACAGCTTTAAGTAAGTAAATGTTCAGTTTCTTAGTCAGAAAAATGTGTCTGACGACAAAATAAAGCTGTCAAAACATCTGTGGCTGTATCTGTTCAGCCAAGTAAATTATTTGTATTTGTATCCGTATTCTGAACAGAAGTAAAGACAGAAGGGCAGAGACAACGGTGCACAGCAACAACAGTAGCAACAACTACACTAATAGTAGTGACTGATGGTGATAATGATGATGAATATGAAGTACACGATACACGACTACGACAACAACGATGGGGGACAATGAGCAGTGATTATAGTAATAATAATAATATGGTAAATGGACCTGTACTTGTATAGCGCCTTTCTAGTCTTTCTAGTCTTCCGACCACTCAAAGCGCTTTTACACTACGTGCCACATTCA